AAGGGAGGGGTATAAATCCAATCTCCTCCTCCTCCTCCTCCTCTTCTTTTTCATCTTCTTTGTCTTCTTCTTCATCATCTTCTTCCTCCTCCATTGCCTTTCCCCAGTGCATTCTGGGAACTGTAGTTTCCAGGACCTGGCATTCGTTAGAAAGCTCTCCTCATTCAGATGGGTCGCCGTGCTGGTCTGAAGCAATAGAACAAACTCTGAGTCCAAGTGGCACCTTGAAGACCAACAAAGCTGAATTGTGGGTATCAGCATTGGTGTGCATGCACCACGCTTGCCAACCTCCAGGTGGTAGCTGGAGACCCCCCGCTATTACAACAGATCTCCAGCCGACAGAGAGATCACTTCACCCAGAGAAAATGGCCGCTTTGGAAGTTGGACTCTATGGAATAATGCCCCAAACCCCACCCTCCTCAGGTTCCACACACACACACACACCCAAATCTCCAGGTATTTCCCAACTCTGGCAACCCTAGCGTGCAGATTTCTTCAGATACATGACCTGTAAGGGGAGATCTTAAAATTATCTAACTGCACCAGCACCTTTAAAGAGTCTCCTTGTCTCCCCAGGCCAACGTCTGCTTTCAGTTCCTAATTCCGCTTCTCGCTCCCTTTCGCCCTCTCTGCAGCATCCACAAGCTGAGGAGCAGAGTGTCTGAGGAACACCAAGTTCTCAAGAAGAAGGAGCTGGAGTCGGGGCCCAAGGCCTCCTATGGCTACGGGGGCAAGTTTGGGACCGAGAAGGACCGGATGGACAAGGTGCGGAGAGACCCTGTGCTGTCCGGTGTTTGTGTGTGCTGATGGGGTGTGTGTGTGAATGCAGAAGAAGAAGATGCGAGCATCGGGCCCTGCTGGGGCAGAGCAAAGGCCCATCCAGCCCGGCATTCTGTTCCCACCACAGCCGTCCTGCTGCCTCAGTGGTAAAAGCAAAAGCATTTCCACTCAGGTTGTGCAATATTTTTTTTTTTACAGGGCGAGAAACCCCTCTAACTCTTAGTGAGTTCACGTGCGCTCCTTGCAGGCTGAAACAAAGAACATAAGAACATAAGAGAAGCCAATGCTGGATCAGGCCAACGACCCATCTGGTCCAACACACTGTGTCACACAGTGGCCAGAAATACCAGGGGCCCTCAGGAGGTCCAGCAGTAGGGCCAGGACACTAGAAGCTCTCCCACTGTTGCCCCCCCCAAGCACCAAGAATACAGAGCATCCCTTGCCCCAGACATAAAAACACAAGAGAGGCCAATGTTGGGTCAGGCCAATGGCCCATCCAGTCCAACACCCTATGTCACACAGTGGCCAAAAATACCAGGTGCCATCAGGAGGTCCACCAGTGTGTCCAGGAGACCAGAA